AAACTAAATACCCACATGAAACTGATAAATACATTTTTCAGCTAATAATCATATACAAAGTAGCATGACTTTTATTATGTGTATTTGCTTGGTTTTGCATGGATCCTATTGTATGATAAGCCAATTAAAAAGGAAACATTTGTAATGTCATATTAAACTTAAACCAGATACAGAAAATGTTTTACATATGCTTTTACCTATTATGTGATAAGATTCACCAGTCCTGTTCTCTTACATTAGAGTAAATTACTCTATCCTAAAGAACATGGCTTTAAGCCTCAAACACACAACACAATTTTATCCATTAGGTGAAGTTATTGAGTAGGACACTAAAGTGACAGGAACTAATTCACATTTAATACCCATCAGTCTCAATTACTTCATCCTACAATAATTTGCATTAGGATCATAAACAAATAATCAAAATTCAATTAGGTCTAACCAAAAACATTATCACATCTGCAGTGTTCAATGTGGACTCCTTAAAACTGACACACATCTTCCACTTCTTTTTTTTCATTTCAATGATTTTTCTTTTTTTAAAGAAACAGAAAAGGCATCCATTTCCTAATAAAGAATTTTTTTGATTTCTACTGACAGTAACTGAACTTGTTTTAGCTAAAACCAGCAGAATTGGAGTAATTTTGTAAGGTATGTTAAGCTGGTGTTTTACAAGTCTAACAAAAACAAACAATTCTACACAATGATTATACAATAGACTTAATGCCCATCTTGTTTCCTTGCTTGTCTCTGAACTTTTTATAATTTCAAAATCATATTTATTCACTTGAAAGAACAGCTTAAAACACACTATTATGAAGTTTTAGTTTAATTTCATTTTGTCTTCACATCACTTTTCATCTATCAAATACGAAGCAATACCACATAAGTATTCAAACCTACAGAATATCAACATTATAAAACTCAGCTACACATCTTGTTTTGTCTTTTTTATGCTTCAAAATCCAATTGAGAAACAAATGACTAAAAAATCTGACCTTACACAACCCATCAGTCTAACACCATGTCTTACCAATATATACCTCTATGATTGACCTCATACCACCCTACAGTCTAACACCATGTCTTATCAATATATACCTCTATGATTGACCTCATACCACCCTACAGTCTAACACCATGTCTTATCAATATATACCTCTATGATTGACCTCATACCACCCTACAGTCTAACACCATGTCTTATCAATATATACCTCTATGATTGACCTCATACCACCCTACAGTCTAACACCATGTCTTACCAATGTATACCTTGATGTTTGAACTCACACAACCCATCAGTCTAACACCATGTCTTATCAATATATACCTCTATGATTGACCTCATACCACCATACAGTCTAACAGACTTGACCAGAAATCTGTGATACATCTACGCAGTGATTCAGACTTGACCAGAAATCTGTGATACATCTACACAGTGATTCAGACTTGACCAGAAATCTGTGATACATCTTCAGTGATTCAGACTTGACCAGAAATCTGTGATACATCTACACAGTGATTCAGACTTGACCAGAAATCTGTGATACATCTTCAGTGATTCAGACTTGACCAGAAATCTGTGATACATCTTCAGTGATTCAGACTTGACCAGAAATCTGTGATACATCTACACAGTGATTCAGACTTGACCAGAAATATGTGATACATATTCAGTGTTTCAGACTTGACCAGAAATATGTGATACATCTACACAGTGATTCAGACTTGACCAGAAATCTGTGATACATATTCACAGTGTTTCAGACTTGACCAGAAATCTGTGATACATATTCACAGTGTTTCAGACTTGACCAGAAATATGTGATACATCTACACAGTGATTCAGACTTGACCAGAAATATGTGATACATCTACACAGTGTTTCAGACTTGACCAGAAATCTGTGATACATCTACACAGTGTTTCAGACTTGACCAGAAATCTGTGATACATCTACACAGTGATTCAGACTTGACCAGAAATCTGTGATACATCTACACAGTGATTCAGACTTGACCAGAAATCTGTGATACATCTTCAGTGATTCAGACTTGACCAGAAATCTGTGATACATCATTACAGTGTTTCAGACTTGACCAGAAATCTGTGATACATCATTACAGTGTTTCAGACTTGACCAGAAATCTGGGATACATCTACACAGTGATTCAGACTTGACCAGGACTTGACCAGACTTGACCAGAAATCTGTGATACATCTACACAGTGATTCAGACTTGACCAGAAATCTGTGATACATCTACACAGTGATTCAGACTTGACCAGAAATCTGTGATACATCTACACAGTGATTCAGACTTGACCAGGAATCTGTGATACATTTTCAGTGATTCAGACTTGACCAGGAATCTGTGATACATCTTCAGTGATTCAGACTTGACCAGAAATCTGTGATTCATCTTCAGTGATTCAGACTTGACCAGAAATCTGTGATGTCTTTATTCAGCAACTTTTACATATTTGCTATTTATATAAATCTATCTAACAGGTTCTGTACACTGATGCTGAGAGCATGACATTTCCTTATAATTCTCTCCCAATTAACCAGCGCGCAAAACGTCCTGTTTGACCAATACACCATTAAGGAAGTCTATGGCTTCGTCTAATGTGAGGAGATGGTGATGAAGCTACGTTACTATGTAGATGGAAAGCAGGGTATGCGAATGGTCGACAAATCTATAGATCTTATACATGGCTTCAGACCTGACTGTTCAGAAATCCCTAACCTAATTCCTTATTTGTATGCTGAGCCACTGACCGGTCCACTCCCTCTCTGGACACACAATCAGATTACTTCGAACTCCCTTGTGAATGCTCAATTAAATGTAGACATCCATGGATACAAGAGTGACAATTTGAAGGTCAACCAAAGTCATTTGGAAACAGTTGTGTTAACTGTTATATAGATAAATTTCTGTCATATTGAATTGATATATTCATCTTTATCAGCTAATTTTCTTCTTTAAAATGCCGAACGTATCACTGGTATCGTTTTAAAGACTAACATTCATTTTGCTTAGATAATGGGCTGAGTTCTGTGTATGCTTCCATTTATCCACTAAATTAAAGTACTTCTTACATAGGATTCGTAATTGATATGATTTTAAATAAGTTGTATAATTTTGTAATAGTTGTAATTGTTGCAATGAATAAAGTATACATATCATGCTAGTCAACTACTAAACAGTGGTTTTAATAGTGATTTAAAATGTTTTAAGACTTACTTATGAAAGTCAGAAATGTGTTATTTTGGTACCAGCTACCTAATCAACATAAGCTAAAATTATTTCCCAAATTTTACCATTCATCAAGTCTTATCATGTTTACACATTGCTGAAGTTTTGAATTTTTTCCCCCAACTTTTGTGTACATATCATTTCTTTTCCCCCATTTGGTAAGGCCAAGGCAAGTTCTATTCAAATTAGTCACTTGGATGATGATTTGGCAGTTTCACTTTAATCATGTGAATAGAATTTTTTGTCTCTGTATAGCTGTTACAATTAAGATTTGTCAATCATGGATTGTCTCCATTGATTACCTGGCCAGTAGCCAGTAGAATGTAAATATTACTGATTTACATGTACATCTATCCCAGTTAAAAAAAATGGAAATGGCCAGGCATGTGATTTGTCTTTAGGTCTGTACTGACTCCAAATATCTTTCAGATCTATGTACACCAGAAATTTCCTACAGGTTTTGTCAGGTCTGTATACTAAACTACAGACAGCCAATTCAGCAGGCCATTTCTTCTATGGTTTAATTTAGCCTTGCCAATGACTTCTCTAAAACAGAAATCTACATTTATAGACTTATGGTAATTCAAACTACCTAAACCTACAGAAGAGATATCGAGTCTTTAATATTTAAATTTCTGCTGAATTGTCAGAAAGGAAAATTTACATATTAGTATGCAGACAATTTAATCTCCTTTTGGGAAAGTGAACCAAAATACAATAGCAGCAAGTCTTATTTTTGTCTGGTTTATGAGAGCTTGCTGGGATCTCATCAGGGCTGAAGTGCATAAAGAGGAATATTTTACAGTACACAGAATCTTGATTTAGTATGTCATTAAAATGGTTTTAAACGTTTTACGACCAATTTAAAGCAGGATTTCAGGAATGTATCATATTAATTAATTTCCAGAATATTGCATAGATATTTCTCATGAATAGATAATGCCAATAAAACAGGGCTCATATTTTGAAACATGATTGGTGCTGGATATATAATGTATGGTAAATTCAAGTATAAATGCTTACTTACAATAAAACTAGAGCAAAATAAGAACAAAAGAAAGATTTCCATTGAGATTCATGAAAAAGTGACAATAACATCAGGTGTTCCTGAAGAGTAAGCTCCTTCTGCTTGAGTGGTCAATCCATAAGTCATGTCACATCTTAAAATGAGAACAAGGTATAAGACAATGGTACCAAGACAAAACTTGATATCAAAAAGCAAGATGGCTGGCAAGCATGAGCCACCTTATTTTTCCAATAGAGATTTACTCAAAAACCTGCATCAGATCAACAACAATGACTAAAGAATGTATCTTTCCTCCTGATCCATTCAGCAGTTTATGGGAAATGCTGGCATAATGTAACACAATAAAAGGATGTTTACACACAGATAGAAAATCATAGTCCAATTTAACAGCCCTCTTACTAGCCACTTACAAATACTGGCTATCTCTTACCAGCCACTGACAAGTGCTGGCTGTCTCTTACCAGCCACTCACATGCACTGCTGTCTCTTACCAGCCACTGACAAGTGCTGGCTGTCTCTTACCAGCCACTGACAAGTACTGGCTGTCTCTTACCAGCCACTGACAAGTGCTGGCTGTCTCTTACCAGCCACTGACAAGTACTGGCTGTCTCTTAACAGCCACTGACAAGTGCTGGCTGTCTCTTAACAGCCACTGACAAGTGCTGGCTGTCTCTTAACAGCCACTGACAAGTGCTGGCTGTCTCTTACCAGCCACTGACAAGTGCTGGCTGTCTCTTACCAGCCACTGACAAGTGCTGGCTGTCTCTTACCAGCCACTCACATGCACTGCTGTCTCTTACCAGCCACTGACTAGCACGTGCTCTCTCTTGCCAGCCACTGACAAGCACCTGCTCTCTCTTGCCAGCCACTGACAAGCACGTGCTCTCTCTTGCCAGCCACTGACAAGCACGTGTTGTCTCTTACCAGTCACTGACAAGTACTGGCTTACATCAGCAGTGTTTTTTTTCTATCTTAATTTTACAGCATCCTCTGCATTCATTACTTTGGATGATGTACAAGTTTCTAAATAATTGTGAAGACATTCTTTTCTTTCTTGCTTCATTTTAGGAAAATACCATTCTCTTTGTCTTATGGAGAAATCAGTATGGCAAGAAAAATCACTGAGATTCAATCAACAAAAGAAAATAAAATCAAGGTTCCGACCACGTACAGACTAATCAGTGGACACATGATCAAAATACATCAATTTTGATTGAAGTGAAGTAACCAGGATAATGAAAGTATTGCCTGGTGACATTGCCTATTGGGAACCTTTTAACTGACCATAATTTGTAATCAATCCTACAACACAATAGCAAATCCAGTAAGGAGTATGGATAGTATAGTTGCACTATTTCCTATTTAGCTAAATGACTTTCACAAACAAACAATAGAGCTATCAATCTGTGCCTTTTATTGACTGACCACTGATGGTCTGGCCTAAGTGAAGACATGCCCTGGACAACCCAAGGCATAATGTCTTTGATAACAATGCACTACACAAATAAATACTGAAAAATGAGCCCTGATGATAAAAGGCATTGAAGCCCGTGGCCACTATCATTACCGGGGTGACAGACTGACGGGTCCAGATTGAGGCTGACATGCGATCGTCATGTTATTCCCTTCGAGTACGATAAACAAAGAACTGAGTTTCAAAACCTTACAGCATCATCTGACATAGGATAATTTTTTATATATAAATGATTTTGTACCTAAAAAAAAGAATACAATATGAGATTTTGTGATAAAGAACAGGTCTTTTATACAAGTACTGAGATTTGAATATCATCATATTTATCCAGTAATAATTAGGCTTATAACAGGACACTGAAATAACATTGGTATGCATTTTCACTGGATATCAAACTTATATGGATACATTTGGTACTAGTCAACATTTTATTGTCACATATATTCAGTATATTGCATATATGACTGTTAGAGAAGACTAACAATGCCTATGCTAGAATGACAGGGAGACAGAACTCCACTGGCAGTGTTCAAGAGGAGTGGTTTTGGATGTTGTTAAGAAACTCTACATGCTGATGTGACATTTATTAGAAGGAACTTCTTTAGTATGGTTTCCTTGTCTTTTAACAAAGTTGAAATGCTGATGTCTGTTAATGTGTAAAATCTATAGAGGTTTTATCAACAACATGTACTAATCAATGTCTTCAACAAATAACTAATGGCTGCCATACATAACATGTTATAAGGTAATTACTTACTAGTGTACATTCCAATGGCATCATATATCTATAACTAATGTGTGAACATTATCAACAGAACACATTTCTATCAGTTTTAATACACATGTATTGTAATACAACATGACTATTACAAATTTCAGATATAACCAAACTGTTTCTATTTTCAGGCATTTCTGTTTTGTAGATCTACTATCGCAGTTTGCTGCTTTAATTTTCAAACAGAAATTGTGAAAAAATATAAGACACAAAAAAAAGCAGTAAATGCAATCAACCTTTAGAATAGTCATGAATAACTTATGTCACATGCCATTGACAATTGGCACAGATTGAAAAAATCTATACTTTTTCCAAGGTAATGAAATTTCAACATCATTACCATTGACGGAAGTCTGTAACAGAAGAAGACTCTATTTAGGTGTGTGGAAGGTAATTTCACCACAGCTTCAAGTTATTCAATTTTTCAATTGAAAGAAATAGCACACTATACACATGAGCTTCCAGTGGGATCTCAACATCATTGAAAGGCTTCATGATGTTGCTAGTATATACATATACATAGTTTCTTTTCTTTTTCTTTCTTGTTCTCTTCAACTTCAAAAATGTACAAGCTTCCAAGGTATTTTGAAAATAGTATTGCACCATTCGTTAATATATATAGTTGCAATTTCTAGTCAATTGATCAGAAATGGATTATTATGCAGGGAAAACAATTAAAAAGGATCTGTAAGGTACCATTGGTCTTTCAAACCACTTAACAATTTTCCATAATAAGAAATTCAGTAAATCTGGAGCTGTACCTGTAACAAAGACATGAATAAGAACAACGTACCCTGTTCTTCCTGATTCCTTCTGCAGTTACTGAGAAATATAGGACACTTTACTTTTTATTCCAATCCGAAATTTGAAATGGCTGATAGCAATTTTAATTTTTCTGATCCATCCCAATTAAAGATAAAGCGGTTATATGCGCATTAGTTTTATTATGATGCTATTGTGATCAGTATATTCCAAGATGTATATCTTATCACAGACTTCACTGACATTGATTCCAAGTTAAAAAGCTGAATTCAATCATTGTTTGTGCAATAGTTGCAATATCCAAATTGTAAGCTAGTTTTGTAAATTCATTATTACAAACTGCTTTTCATTATGACAAGATTCAACTTGTAGCGGACTGGTTAATAATTCTTACCAGGTACGTAAAAATAGTCCGCACCATTTATGGCTGAAAAGAAAACCTACGTGACTACCTCAGTTACAGGGAAAGCATAAATACAGCAAAATGTCAGGTAACAACCATAGCATTCCATTAGAAACAAAACTAGAGATTTATACAAAATGTGAATTACTTTGGACGATTTGTGTGCATTTTGTAAGCATTAGAGCACTCTCTTGTATCATGGTTGAACATTTGGATCAGTCTGTAGGTAAAATGGGGTATTTGGCGACTTGTCATGTGAAATCGGCATTAAAGACATCTCTACATGACTTATTCTAAAAGGATTCCGTAGGAAGTTCTTGCTATCACGCATGGTATTATAAAGTTTGGTCGCTGAATACTATCGTTGAAACTGTCTCTCAGTGTGGTATTGTCTATAACAAACAAGTCTGTCATGGTATTGTTGAATTGCTTTGATCACTAAATACTATCATTAAAAAATTCTGTGAGTGTGGTGTAATTTATAAGATAAAACTTTATCACAGTATTAACGTTTAACAACATAAAAAGAATCTATCAATATATTACATACAATTCTACCATGAGTAATCGAAATTTTTTAACCTAACATTTAAGAAAAAATCTATTGTTCAGGCAAGGCCAGACGCTGTAGCTGTAGGGGTACTGTTACACATGATCAATGGGGCCTTACTAGTCTGGCTGACACTCAAGTCCTGTGTGAAACCCAAAGTTAGGTATACATAAATAGAATTGACGAGAAGCCCATGGATCTCAATGGTTATCTGACTGGAAAGACTTGTAGATGATATAATAAATATAGCAGTAGACAATGGCTGAATGAACAAACAATTTCTCATCATTAAAGCAATGCTCAGAATATTTCATCAATTAAGGAAAGAAAAACAACAAGTGTCAAGGTTCATTTCTAAATATTCCCAAAAATTTCAGCTCAAAGGCACCAGCTGAATTTTAGAAGAGTATGTGTCTTTTGTGATAGGAGCCATGACAGCCATATGGTATTTTTAACATACTTACTGAAAAATAACAACATTTGGTCAGGACCATCTCAACATTATTTCAGGAAAGTCTGAGCTGAGTATCATTGGTAGAGCATGAGAAAAAGATTAAAATATGTATTATTCAGGAAAAATTTTATTGTGCAAACAGGTTACAACTCCTGTGTTGACATTTAAAGACAGTGTCAAAATAACAACACTTTGCTTTCCTTAACATCCACATTAACTTTCAATTCACTGGCACCAGTAAAGCTTCAGAATAAGTTTAAGATGTGTTTTTCAAAATGTCTGCACTGACAGCCATATTGGAATTTTAGAGCTGGCATGAAAACTAACAACATTTCTTTAGGACCATCTCAAGATCATTTCAGGCAAGTTTAGGCTGAAACACATTGGTTGAACTTGAGGAGAAGTCTTAAATGTGAAAAGCGGCAGATGACACACTATGATTGAGGAAACAGCTACAAAAATGTCAATGTTTAGAAAAATCTCAGGTACACTGATACTCAAGTTTATAGAAAACTATAAGAGAAACCAATTGAAAACAAATATAAGTGATCAATTTACAGCATTTTGTTGGTTATAATATTCTACAATCTTTATCTTTTGTAATTGTTTTTCAATCACATGATGTCACAAGCAATGTATCTACATTCAAATCATTAATGCTACAATCCTTTAAAATATTTCAATAAAAGGTCCCACTATTTAATTTTATATCAATTAAATCAGTATGTTTCTTTTCCTATTTATAGTAGAAGTAAAAAGAAACTTATCTGAGTCGATAACCCAAACCTATCAGGAAATCGATACTAAAAAGCAACGAGAGAAACACGCTGTAAAAAGTACCGTGCTATAGGCAATCAAAGATATAATTCTGTCGTGGGGTTTCCCTGGTGATCAATAGAATAAAATAACTACATGTGAATCCATGTCACCGCATTTTGTATGGTGCCTGTAATTTCTCCAATTTATCCTAAAACTCCATGTATTTTTGTGTCATTATCACTACAGTAACCTCATACTTGCTGTGGTACATGGATATTCATGTTACATCACGAGATCCTTCACGATAAAATTTCACAGAAAAAACAATTTGGGACTCATTAACGTTAAAATATAATGCTACCAGCTTTCTTATTGAGGTAAAAAGGAGAAATCAATTTTCCAAGTTATCATTTGAAGAAACCATTGATATTCAGATATGCATAAGGACCAAAAAATATGTACGAAAAAGAACATTCCAAAACACCTGATGTAAGGAACAGATAATCCCCCTGACTCCATCCTTTACTAGATATGTATTTTAGTTAAATAAGAACTGGTTAATAGCATCAACCAATATCAACATCATACAAGGACTAAAAAAACTGCCATTATGTCCAAAAAAATCTAAATGAAACATTCATTACATGCAACACATCTTAAATTGTGAGACTATAAACAGGGCTCTTGATTTGCCAGATTTGGGGCCGAATAAGCAAAATAGATCTTTTTTTCCCAATTTAGACCCCAAGTTCTCCGAATTCTAAGGAAAACCCCATTATTTTTCCGAATTCTAAGGGCCCCGGGCCCCAGTCCAAAAATGGGATGTGAGAGCCCTGATAAAGTATAATGAATTAAAACTGTAAATACATTGTATCTTATAAACAACGGGTACCAGTTTAAATCTTCATGAAAGTCTGAAATTCTGCCACAATTACTCACAAGATTATCAGTGAAATTGATGAACGCTACCCGAAAATGACTTAAATGGACACACAATTTTAACATGTTGCAAGCTATGAATTTGGTATACTGCAAATGCTCTTAGTATGACCCCGAGTTTCATGATAATAGTTTTAATGCAAGCAAAGCTAAGCTCATGACACAGAATTTGAACAAAGGGCAATAACTCTGTACTGCAGAGTCAAGGGCCCTGACTTTGCGTGAATGATATATACATCACATTTCAATATCTTAGTTCAAATGTTGGCAAAGTAATGCTCTGAATACAAAATTTAAACAAAGGGCAATAACTCTGTAATTAAGGGATTGTGGGCTCTAACATTGGTACACAGCACACTGTCTTCATATGATCAATGTAAACACCAAGTTTCATAATCCTAGCATACAGCAAGAAAAATTTCAACAAAGAGTTAGCAACAATGTAATTGAGGAAAGTTTTTGAGGAGCACAAAAAATAATGCAAGGAAAGACACAGACACTGGTCTAATATAACTTCATTTCTTGTGGAGAATACATTTTGTTTTTATTGGGTTTCATGTCCTCTATACTGCCAGGGTCATACATGGATGGCTTGTAGAAAATGTGTTATGTAATTATTGTAGCTCGCAGTTCTAAGTCTAGCTTTGTGGAATGTTAATCCTACCCATTCTACTATGTGGTATATTCCAGTTTAGGATAAAAAAAATATCTCAACAGCTTAATATGTTACTTACTTAAATCATAAAATGTTACCAACTTTGACATCAGGCCATGAAAGTATATCTATAAATAAAGGCTTTTCTGAACAGCAGCCTTATACTGTCATTCCTAGACATAATTCCTCTGTTGCCTCAGCTCTCCCTGAGACTTCAGTCGCCAGGACTTGCTAAAATGTATTCCCTGTGGTGTAGAAACAGCCACTAATATATATATAGTATATATATCATACCAAAGATACCAGGAGCCAGCATCAGCTAACATCAGATCATGTGGGAATCTGTTTATATAATTTAATAGTCAACATCAAACTTTAAAACACAAGCATGTTCTTTTACAGCATAAATCTAATGAAGAAAAATAAAGATGGCAGATATTTTCGTCTTGTGACAGACATTTAAACAAAGCATGAAGTCAGACACAAGAATTACTTAAAATAATTCACTGATGAAAATGTCTTGTTTCCGTGTAGCTAAAAATAAAGGATAAAGTAAGACAATAAGACGTGTAAGGGAAACTCGATTAAGGAGAGACATCCGAAAAAGATTGAGATTTTTATTCAGCTAAACTATCTGAGAAATGTCACAGATACTTGGGATTGCTTTTTAGGTGGCAGACAAAAAATTAGACACAAGAATTAAAATCAATGTCTTTGGAATGAACAGGTTTTTTGTACAGGCTGCGCTTAATTCACACTCGATAGCTGTTTCGTGTATCATCACCTGAGTAAGTAATCTAAAATATGTGAAAATTAAAACAAATCTCTTTTCACAGCATTCTTTAATGGGGGAAATGGCCAATTTCCTTCTCGGAGGAGAATGTAGCAACAAAAGAAAACGTGATTATGGAGTAGCTGTGAGTAGAGATTGCTCGATGTAATTCCATCACAGCGAGAACCAGGTCACCAATGTCTTTGTCTGACATCGCGCAGAAACTAAAAATGGTCTGCCTCTAAATAATACTGTCAATGTACATTTACAATATGTTAACAATTGTCAAAACCTTAGTGTCAGTACTAATAATATGGAACAATATGTTCACTGTTTACCATAAACACAGATGTATAACATATAATATTTCTAACAGAAAATAACTCTCAATAGAAACATACAATGCAAAATATATGTAATTGTCAAAATATAACTGTAAATCTTCAAATGCATAGGATATGTATATATAAGCAAACGGGCAATATGATGTTTGCCTGCAGCAAATTCCTTCATTTATACTGACCATTAATGCTATAAAAAGAGTTAAGTGTTGCAAACTTACATAAATGTTGTATCTAGTTTATAGTTCAAATATGAGCTAAACCTCTGACTCACCTGTACAGGTTAACAAGACAAACTATAGATACAGGTTAATGCTTTAACAGACTCACCTGTACAAGTCAACAAGACAAACAATAGGAACAGGTAAACAACAGGGCACAGTAAACATTGTAACTGACTCACATGTACGAGTCAACAGGACAAACAATAGGCCCAGTTAAACAATAGGGCACGGTAAACATTGTAACTGACTCACATGAACGAGTCGACAAGACAAAACATAGGCCCAGGTAAACAATAGGGCAAGGTAAACATTGTAACTGACTCACATGTACGAATCAACAGGACAAACAATAGGCCAGGGTAAATGCAGTGACAAACTGACCAGTAGGAGAGTACAAGACAAAGATGGCTAGGTAAATGCTGTGTGACTCACCTGTATGAGTTAACAAGACAAACAATAGGCCCAGGTAAACCCTGTAGTAGACTCTGCCCATGATGTGTTTATCTTCATTGCAATGGAGAAAATATTATGATAATTTAATATTGTTATTAAATTATAGTTTATATCTTCCTGCTAGCTGACATAGCAATTTTCAATTAAGATTTTCATTATGTATTAGTGTTAGTGATTTTCCTCTCTATGTATGCATCTCAGCTCAGTATTTCTGCAATGGAGAAAAAATTGAAAATTTTATCTTCTGCATTTATCAGTTTCTTATTAATATTTGTTTTTACCTGGGTGTTATCACTCTGTTAAACATGCGTTCATTTTGGGAATTTTAACCCCAATGCATAATAATAGAATATATATCATATCGTTGAGGGTCTAGCTAACATTTTCAGCTTCTCTCAAATGCTGCTAACAAGCTTCTCTCACTAGGGCCACAATTTATATCCTAGTAGTTAATAGTGATTATGAATAGAAGTCTCAATATCTTGTGCGTTCTTGTTGTATATAAAGAAAATTTTAAAAGGTGGTATGATATATTAAGCCTCCAAATGCTGTAACACTAACAATTTATATCCAAGTCTCAATATCTCATCAATGAATGAAAAGGAGAAAAAGTGACCTAAACTGGCATTAATGGTCATCTGACAATCAAACATCCTGAAAAGTAAACCATTGTATGGAGTATCTACAATGCCATGGCTGAAATGAACTTATCTTATCAATTTAAGAAATGAATGTCCTTTCTCAATTATGTTTGTTTCAGACCAAGATTTGGTTGATATTCACAGAAGAATTAAGGAGTAGCATATTATTTTAAGCAGAATTTTACCTATATGCCCTTAAGTTTTGGATCCCAGGCCCTGATTCCCCATGGAATGAATCAACTTCATTTATTTAAGAAATGGTTCCCTCTCCTTGTGTTGTTTCAGACCAAATATGGGGTTGAAGTCCACTCAAGTGTTAAAGACAAGTACTTTGATCCAAAACTGAAGCTACCTTTCACTTGAGAGACCCACCTTTATTGTCCTCAAGAGTCATTAATCAACTATTTCTTTTTACACAATGGTTGCCCCCTCCCAATTTTTCGGAGGGGGCAAATTTGGTGGAAATATGCTGCAGTGTTTAAGGTCAATAGTGTTTTCAAGCATACAAACATTGAGTCAGGTGACCTGACAACAAGGGATCCATTTATAGGTTTTTATTCTCTCACTATGTTTTATTTGGTCATATTTACTTTATACAAACTGAAGAACAATTTTTAAGGTTTACACCTAATTCTCCTACTGGACTTAGCTCCTTGAGCTCTGCCCCTCGAGGGTCAAACCCTTGATATGTTCCGAATTGCTCCCAATTAGCCCAATGATGTTTCAAAAATTTCATAAAAACCTCGTCACCTCTGAGAAGATGAAGGATTTTTCTGATTTACCTTTATTTCCCCAATTGGGTCTGTCTTTTCTATTGCTACACTATTCGATCTTTTGTTTATTCAGAATTGAATCTTCTATGCACATTATCCTCTAGATCATTGGTCAAAATTTGTTCATCTTAACAGGAGAAAGATGTTACAGCTTAACTGCCCCCATTTCCCCTATTGGTATCCTGTCCCTGCCTTTAACCCAGGAGGGGCGGACTCGTTGTTTATGAACAATAAGGTCCCTTCACCCAAGGATGCCCTATAACAAATTCTTACCAAACCCTGCCTTGTAAAGCAATTATATTCATATATCATCAATATCTATCACAGACTAAAGGAAAATATATCATACACTATATGTGATATAGATAAGATTTAGAATCTCCAGTCTACCTTATACATACAATGATTTTCAAGATTTTGATTTTTTTAAAATCCTGATCTAGAAACCGGTGAAAAGGTACCAGCTAACACACAGTTTGGGGTGAATGATTTGTCCCAATTCAATATTTTACATTAAATATATTAAAAATAAAAATGTACTTAACATTCATCTTGTTCGGATACACTGTTATAGTGTAGTTGACTTTTAAAAATCAGAATCAAATACTACTAACAACAAAGTGCATCACCTAAAAAAAAAATCAAATTGAAGGGTGTGTATTTTGATGTAGCCCTACATACAGCAATACCCCTTTACCCAACTCAACCAATGCCCCTTTACAAACATCATGGTTCCTTGTTTCCCTAGAGTTCCATTCAAATGCAATGCTTCAACATACATAAATAATTGTCAATAGATTTTACACCAACTCTGCCTGAAATGTATAAACACTTACTAGTAAGAGGAATAAGTGAAAAGACGTGTAAACCACGTTAATACCAACTTAGGAATAATATACTTATTTCTGGAGAGTTCTGGCTAGCAGAATTTGACAGAGACTTGATCATCTGCCTATGTAATGTCTACAGGGGCACCTCCATACCTAGTAAAACCATCAGTTTTATGGACTACAGGCTAAAATGATGTCTAGTGGTGAATCTTTTCAATTCTAAGGTGACTACAGATGCTGGTATGTATAGATCCAGGTTATCGTGTATTTAAGTTGTGAAAAGTTGACATCAATTTTTGAATTCTCCAGAAAATGTACCATACATTTATAATAACAAGATCAATCCACTTCTTTCAGATATACCAAAAACATCAGAGCAAAAAAAAATTATTTTCATAGAAATCCTGACACTCTGGCTAGGTTTTTCCTTCATTACCAGTAATCTCATTTTTTATGGTAAATTTAGTATGATCTGCTCTGATTTTAGTCTACCACCTAATAAAGTAGAAAACAGAATCCCTTATAACAAGAAAAATCTTCAAAAATGATAAACTGTACAGTTTAATACCAAAGTTTTAATTTGAAGACAGTTGTGTATCTAGTGTGAATTTACAATTTACATATTGTACATCTATAATGGGCCACCATTATAAATAATGATGTAAGGTTCTGATATCTGAAATAACAGTTCTATACTAGATAAAGAGCTGCAGCCTGGTGTGTCATTATAACCTAGTGTATTACTCATGTTATTGTCATGGAATTTCTGTGACTTTTATAATTATAAACAATATGATTACTGTTGCCATGGTTACACCAAAACAATACCGGTCCTATAGCACATTAAGCTGGTACACCAACTCCATATCAAAAACCTAATTCACATTTTGTATGCCACATAATCAGCCAATGGGAGACATGATAAGTATTCAGTCTGCACTGTATGAGTCGAATGAATCAAGGGTAATTCCAATTACGCAGAAAATCCCAAAATAATCTTTCATGACTGTGTTGAAAAAGAATATTTATACAGTTTACAAAAGACAGTATGATAAAAGAGTCAATGTAAAAAACAAGAGGCCCCTGGGCAGCAGCAGGAACAGTTATTGAATGACTAAAATTGTTCAGAATACTTTCAGATAGGCAGACAAAATATCCTTCAATATTTAACTTTGAATGTGGCAGTAACATATAAATACAATGTTTACTTTCTTTTCTTAACATCACTATCAATTTGCAACTCAGTGGTGGCAGTGGAACTTGAAAAGTTTAAAATGTGTTTTTCAATATGGTGGCCATGGTATTGGATTTTCGACTGACCTGAAAAATAGTACCATTGGTCAGGACCATTTCAGAATCATTTCACACAATTTTCAGCTGTTGGAACAGTTTAAAATATGAAAACCGTGTACAATAAAAGATGAAACACATCAAACAGAGGTTATCCTGATCTTACAGTTCAAATGACCCAATAACAATGGGTAACATTTTTTTTTACAAAGTCCCTTAATTCTTGTAAGGTATAGAATTTTTATCACATGATCAAAAATAAGTATTCTGTGTGCAAACAAATAACATCATAAAAAGTTAAAGAGAAAAGAAATAATTAGAAATTCTCTTTTCAAACAAATCACTCACAGCACCATTTTAAGATGAAATTTGAGAAGAATAATTTCAGATCCATGTACAATCCAATCAGTTTATTTAGGTTTTTTACATTTCTATCACTGAATCTACAAAATGCAGTAAGAAAAATCAATATTTCAATCAATTTGCTGAACTGGCTTCATTCTAAACTCCATTTTAAACTGGCAGATCAACGATTCAGCGGCACATGATGAGATACTACAGAGATATACTGTGGAGATTTCCTGATTAAACAA